TTTAGTGTGTTTGTTGTTTTGTAGTTTTCTGTTTTTTTTCGATGTAGATGCAACAGTGTTCTAAAATGTTACCAATCTTGTTGATTTTTTTTTTTTTTTCGAACTTAATGTAATTATGTACTGTGTTTAGGGTCATAAGGAATTCAGTGAATTTTCCTCATTGCCGAATTGATTTGTATATGAAGAAGATATCATTGATATATCTTGCATAGAATATGCAGTTATTACCAATGAAGGGATAAATATGGGTCTGCTCAAATTTTCTCATCAAAATTGTAAATGCCATATGATGGAGCAATAAACGGTGCCCATGGCACATCCTCTTACTTGTAAAAGTGTTTTCCATTGAAATTGAAAGTATTCTTCAATGTAAAAATATGTTTCATAAGTTTTATGATTACTTCTGTGGTGGTGGTGGGGGAATCTTGTTTTTTTTTTTTTAGTAAGTTTCTTTAAGGGTGGTTAGTCCATTGCAGTTTTTGATGTTTGAATAAAGTTATTTTACATCCTTGGTTACTAGAGTAGCATTTTCTGGCACTGTATATGATTAAATTTATTTAGTAGATCTGTTGTGTCTCTAATGTATGATTTTACTTCCTTAGCTAGGGACGTATTTGTATATTTTGGTCATATGGCAGTTCAATGATGAAATGACTGGCCTTCCTGGGTTGTTGTTTTGGTGCATTTTGGGAAGGAAGTAGAACTGGACAGGTGTGATGTTTGTAAGTGTTGTGCATGTTTCCTTGTCAATTAGTTTTATTTTAAAGCATCATATTTAGCAAGCTTGTTAGTTTTTTGGTATTCAGGGAGAGGATCTGTGGGTGGGTTTTTGTAGGTGTTTTTGTTGGCCTCTTTAAGGTATTCTTTGATTCCCCCAGATCACTGTGGCACCACCTTTTTCAGCCTGTGTAATGATTAGGTCATCTCTATGTGTTAGCATGTCAAGGGCTGCCCGTTCCCCTTTAGTGATATTATTACGTAACAGCTTATGTACTGTTCTTTTCTTTGTCATTTGTTACTGCCATTTCAAGTGTCTGTATAGTGATGTCTGTGTTTTGAGTATGGAAGGTTATTGTCTCCATAGTGGGCTTTTACTTTTTATATATATATATATATATATATATAGAGGAGGCACAGTGGAGTAATGGATAGCATATTGGATTGAGGAATCGGATATAAATTCGAATTCCAGTTGAATCCATTACATTCACTTATTTTAATACCCTTGGGAAAGGTGTGAATCCTCTTCCTCTCCCTCCAACTATGGGTAAAAATAGCAGGACAGACTAGGTTCTATAGCCTTGAATGGCAACTGGTCTAGGAGAAGGACAACTCTGAATTCAAAACCTGCGGAGGGTCGTTTGGGAACCTTGTGGCACTTGGTGCACCAGGTCTCTGTATTCATCCCTTCAAGAAGTGTGGATGGTCCTGCACGAACCCTTCACCACTATAATCAAATCTCATGTGCTGTTGGTTTCCTGGAAACTGATCTGCTTGACCCTCATACATCAAATTTCGACGGGAGAATCGACTATATATATATATATATATATATATATATATATATATATTTTGGCTGACTTCTTGAAGTGTTTGAAAAGTTATTAGACAACAAATTAAAGGAGATATATGATGAAATATTGATAATCAATTTTTATTGTCTAATGTATGATAATCTTGCAAGCTTTTATTTGTTCAGGTGCTTCTAGAGAATTGGCCTTGTGTCAGATTTAGCTTAATTCTTATAAAACCTATTTCCTTTCCTGTGAAAATAGTTTACTTGTTTATTGTAAAGTGTTTTGATTACTGATTATAAGGTTATCATGGTTGTTAAGACTATTTACCTGCTTTATTAAACTTAAAAGAAAAAAGACAGAAGGTTAGTGAATTTAAAATATGCTGTCCACAGACAGACTGTTTTGCTGTATCACAGCTCATCAGTGTGGCTAGGCATCTGATTGCCTCAAGCTGGGTTCAAAACCCCAACTTATTTGGCATCAGTCAGAGATTTTACCCCTGAGCTAATTTTTGTGTACTTGTTCTTTGAATAAACACATCAATGATAGAGGGCCCAATTCATAGAAGAGCTTAGTCATTGTTTACAAATTTGCATTTTCTCCCAAGGGTACTCAACCAGAATTAAATTTTCCAGGGACGTCTATATTTATTTTTGAGGGGATTTTTTTATCCAACCTTATTTCTTATTACTATAAATGTTATTTTTAGTGGAGACACATGTTTGAGTTGTTACCCCTGTTTTTTATTTTATTAAACAGTGAAATTAAAAACAAAAAAGTTTCTATTGTTTGTTTGGGGTATGAAACTGAAGCAAGCAGATGTAAATATTTAGGAATCTCATATTTTGTTTTAGATACTTCTAGGAATTCTATGAAATAAAGAAATTTAGTTATTGGTGTCTTTTTGCTTTATTTTTTGTTTTTTAATCTTTGTCCGCTTCTGGTTGATTTGTTGTTGAAACAAAGGAACCTGAGTTTTCAAGGTGGATGTGAAAAATTCAGTAATATATAAACTATAAACATCCCATCCCTTTAATGTAGGTACCTCCAGAAATTTACAAAGAAAGAACATACCATGATGAAAAAAAGGCCCGAAACAAGGTTTTATCACCAAAATGTTTGTTATTATTAAAAGGAAAGACTGAATTTTTTTTTTTTTATTGTTTTATTAAATTTTTTAATCCTTTCTAGCATGTACAAAATTTTGGTTAAAAATCTTTTTTTTTTTTTTTTTGTGTCAGTGAGTGGGCCAAAGTCTGTATGGGAAATTTAGCATCTTTTTGTGGCAAAAAACACATTTTTGGGGAAAATCTTGCAAAAATCAAATAATTGTGAGATTTTAATTAAATTTTCAGGACTTATTCACAAATGAATGAAATTATATTTTTTAAACTTTTTATTTTATTATTTTATTTTTATAATTTATTTTATTTATTTATATTTTTTTTTTTTTTTCATCTGTTTCACCCACTTATTAATTTTATGAAATTTCATAAAATTAATATTCATATCTTTATATTTATATTAGTTAAAAGCAGGACTCCATGGAGAATTTAAATCATCAATTTGTTTGCAAAACACAAATGCCATTTACTGAAAAATCTGCTCTTGATTGTCAAATAAAAAATACAATAAAACTGACATTATTTACTTAGAAAAGTTTTTACTTGCTTTTATAAATAAGATATATTAAGGACACTATTGTCTTAAAAAAATTTTTTCAATGAATGAGTTTTTACAAGAATTATTTCATTTTTTTTTCAAAAATTTTAATTAGAAAATAAGTTCTGAATCTTTTAAAATTCTATATTAATTTCATCCTTTAGATATTATTAAATAAAAACTATATTAATCAATCATAAATGGAAAAGCTTAATACAAATTGTCAAACACCAATGTTTTAAAAATAATTTAAAAAATTTTTTTGTATGTGTATAAACATGTCATTTTTTGTAGATACGGTGGCTCATACACATTTTCAAAAAATAAGAGTGATAACTATAGTAAATTTAAAGTAAGAAAGTACCTCAAATTCAATAAAACTTATTATTGAGAATAATTTCTTAAATTTTTTAGATTACTGATAACTCTGAAATTATAAATAAAAGGTGCTCATGTTATATTCAATTATTTTTATGGCTCAAGCCTCAATAGAAGAACATTAGATAAACATTAATCTGTCATCAAGCTGTCAAACATGTCAACAACTTAAACAGGTACTACTGTGTCTCTGCAATATTTCAAACTTAAATAATATTTGTTTAAAATCTGGTTAATTATACTCTAAATTACCTAATATTCCTCAATTAAAGTTTCAGAAATTTTATTTTTTACAAATTTTTTTTTTTGGAAGATGTTTTAATTAAGAGAATTACATTGCAATGAAAGACTAAATACATTAATCTGCTATTTTAGCAACAAAAAAAAAACTACTTCCAGTTTAAATTAGTTTGAAATGGAGCAAAGTATTTTGCTTATTAGTAATATTAAATTTAATTTTATAGCTTGAAATTAAAACTAAAATAAAAGCTTCAAGAAAAATTTTTCATTTTTAAAAATTCATTTTAAACTTTAGGTATTGCATTTTCTGTGGTAGTACCTACTTTAAAGTTATTGTCTACTGTGTTTATGAAAGAAAAATGTGGTTGCAGCATTTTTGAAAAATTTTTTTATCTGTTTTAATCATTTCAGACTCTGGATCATGCTGATGAAAGTCATAATGCACACATACTTAGACAAGTTTTGTTGAATAGTCAAATTGTTTTATTTTTATTTTCTAATTAACAGATTAATTTCAATATCTTAGAATTGAAAGCATGAAAGGATTTTTCATGTTAGTTCATTTAATGTTTTCAGCTTTCAATTATCTTTGATCCTTGTACTCATTAAAGTAAACTGTAAAATGATCATAAATTTTAGAAGCTTTTCATATTAAATTCAAACAATAACCAGCAAAATCTCTCAGGAATCCTAAATGGATTTAAATTTTCAGAATCTACTGAAGAAAACAAAGTTTGTTTTTTTTTCCTTTAATTAATGAAAGCCTTGTTAACTCACAAAGTACAACTTTTGAAGAGATATATACATATATTTCTGGCTTTTTATTTTTCAGATCTTTGTCTTTTACTTTGTCTCGAATTAAAAAATAATGTTATAGTATTAATATTTATTAAGCTTGACACAAGGCCACAAATTTGGGGCGTCAATTGAGGATCAGATTCACTATGGTAGTAATTGTCTTGAAGATATGTTTGCTAACCATTGTTCCATTGTGAGGTGCCCAATGAAATGTTTACTAAGTTTAATCTGTCTTCTGTAAGTTTCTCAATGACACTTTATATTACCTGGTGTCAGGAAATGTAACATTGTTGAAATTTCACCCTGTATGTTGTTTTTATTGTTGAATGCATTTGTATTTCTTGGTGCATATATCTTTGCAAAGGCCCCCTGGTGACATCACTGCTGTTACATGTTGTATTTCAGACTCTCAGCCATACCAAGAACCAGAACAAGGAGCAGAAGGAGGTGATTGCCTCCCCCAGTATATGGACACACTTCGCTTACATGATGAGACAGAGTTCCCTCCTGTGAGCAACTGATATTAGAGACCACATGGCATCGATGGTAAGGGAAGTGTTGGGTTGTGGGAAAGGAATACAATGGGACAATGTTATAATGGTTATAATCTTGGGAAGCAACCATTGGCTGTCAAGTGTTGTTTCTGATCAGGTTCCCTGTATTGTGAGAGGGGTACATATACATACACACACACACACACCATTGCTCTATGGCTGGAAGCAAAACAAATGGTTTTTAATTTAAGAATGCCTCAAGAAAATTCTATAAAAAAAAAAAAAAAAAAAAAAAGATGGTACAGAAAATACAGGAGAGAGAAAAATGGTAAATCTTTGAAAAGGAGAGGTTGTAAAAACTTAAGTTTTTTATTATTATTATATTTTTATTTTAAAACTACAAACTGTTAACTTTCTTTTTAAATAAGTATTTCTTGTTATTTGTGTGGTTGTGTGCTTAAGAGAGGATGGTATGGATTCAATGGTTTGGGGTTGAAGTATCTAGCACTGTTTCAACAATCATTGTGCATTTGTGTTAGGAGAGGGAGCAGCCAGTTAATCTAACTGCTCACCACTGAGTTCCACCAATTTCCTGATAAAGGCTGGAGATTTGCCAATCAAAATTCAATCTCTTAGATTAAATGTAGTACATTCTTGATAATTCAGAATGATTTAGCCCATAAAAATACATTCTATGCTCATTTACATTGAGAGCCTTGATCATTCATGAAATATCTTGAGTTTAAATCTTTTAGATTGTCATCAAAATTAAAAATATGAAAATGTCATAACATGAATAAGAACAACATAAAAAAAAAAGAAAAAAATCTACTCTAAAAAAAAAAAAAAAAAAAAATCATTTATTCTAAAAACTTAATTATGATAGAAGTTTATATTTTAACTGATAAATCTTCATTAGGTGATGACATTCATGTGTGGGTGCCTGTTGTGGAGGGGGTGATTGTAAATGTTGGACGAGTTCTCTGCCACAGCAACAGAAAATCTTGATTTTTAACATTGTGCATTCAACTTCTCTTGTGGGAGTGGGGACCATACAATTTGCATAATTTCATTCAGTGTCAGTTTTACCTGCAACTCATCATGGCTGGCCGCTTTACTGCAGAGAAGAAAGGCTTATAAAGGGTGGGGAAGAAGAAAAAAAAAAGTTATCTGCTGTTATAATAATTCTGGTTCAAAATATTCATCATTCTCTCTTGTATCTTTACATAAAAACATGACAAATATTTGCCCACAGACAATATTTTTTTCTTTTTTAATTATTCTTTCTTTGCACTACTTAATAGTTTCCTCCAGCTCTATCATTTCCTTCATTAATCCAAAATTGGGTTTACAAAAGAAAAACAAGCTCTCTTACAATCATATTCTACAATTTTTTTTTTTTTTTTTTTTTTTTTAAATGCAGCCAGTAATATTTCTCTTGCAATACATTAAGAACAAGTATTTAGAATGGGAAGAATTTTAATACTCCAAGTCCTCACTTTGCTGACACTTAGATTTGTTATTGTGATCATGAAATATAAATACTTTCTTCAAAAAGTTCAGCACTGCTTTCCTTGCAAGAAAATTCTACAACACTTGCTATCATCATTAATGTTCAAATATTTCTGTAAATAATACAGATGACATGATGAGCTTAGTCTTTCATGATTCCTGCCCGTTGCAGTCTGTAAATTTGTAAAACATGCCCCCCCCCCCCCATTTTCATGTTGTCTGTCTATTACTATGGCTTCAGGGCTCAAAGCATATGTGCGTATTGTTATGTAGAGGAGAGGGGAAATATTTAAGTCCCAGTATGGCATAAATATCTCTGCACTCAAATGTATTTTCTGTGCTGGTAGAGAAGCTTACATCTAACATCTGTACACAATATTCATGCATAAAAACAAATGGTTTGTTGTCTTCCTCCCAGCTAAGGTTTCATTTCTTGCTTAAAAACCAAAATTAATGAATTCACTTGCCTGCAGCATTTTATTGCATACAAGTGTATCAATCCTTCTTGTTCCAAACTGAAATAACCTAATTTGATCCTTTCTTTCATGGCATAACATTTTCTTTATATATATATATATATATATATATATATATATATATTACTTCTGCTTTTCTTACATTGATTTTTTTTTTTTTTCTCCCTTTAGCAAATTTCCCAAACCCTCTCCTATCACATCTTCATTTATTTTTTGTTGTCTCTTGTGCTAGATTCTCAACATTTTTTTAGGATTAATGCAAAATAATAGACAAGATGACCTTCTTCAAATATGGCAAGATGCAGTCAATTCACAATTGATGCTAAAGGAACTGCTTTATTTTTTACAGTCCTGGTAAAGTAAGTGTACAATAGCAATATTAAATATCTTTCTTTTTTTTAATTTATTTTAAATATAGACTTTGCAGACCATTTTTATAAATAATATGCAACTATGTATAAACTAATGTTTTTAATTGTAAATATATTCCTTTCCTGACTGTGATTTCTGGTTGAAAGTGCCATCTTCAGAATTCTTCCCTTGCATCAATTGTGAGTTTAATATATGTTTATTTTTCATCTTCCTTGATTGAACAAGATCATCACAACTCAGGGTTGCTTTTAAGAATTTAGTATGGATGTATGATTTATTTGAAAATGGTCACCAAGTTGATATCACTCGTGTAATATAACAAATGTGTTTTTGTTTTTGTTTTTTTAATAGTATAGAAATATTCCCAAGCAGTTGATTAGTTGAAATTATCAAGATTTGTTAACCTTTCCACTACTTGTATAACAAATTGTGAAAAGAAAGATTTTCATCTGATTGAAATGAATAAATCAAATGATGACTAAATAATAATAGTAAAAAGCAAAATAAGTCATTCCAACAAGTATTAATCATAATCTAAATTGATATTTTACTTTTACTTCAATCATTTCTTTTGGTTTGGAAAAATATTTTCTTTTGCTTTTACTACTCACATGTGTTCATTCAATTCATTGACTAATTATGAATTTTAAAATTCAGCATAAAGGCCTTTATATGATCCTTTAAAAAAAAGAAAAATGACTAGGTTATCATTGTTGATGTTATTCAGGGTTTCAAGTTTTTCTTTTTATGGTAAAGTATTTTTGACAGATTAAGCTATCTTTTAAATCCTGAAACAAGCTTATTGCACATGGTGAATATTTTAACTGAAGTTATCTTCTGTAAATCAGGCTGAGACAGACATAAGGTGATCCAGGTTGCCATCAATGCATTTAAACATTGTTCCTACCGATTCACATAATAGTGAGGATTCACTCATTTAAAAGGGTTTTTTTTCCTTTTAGATTTAGACCAATTCAGACACTCATCTTGCTAAAACATTGCCGTTAAACTGCTGCAGTTTTTTTTTCTGTTTTTTTTTTTCTTTGCATTCAAATATGCAATGAGACACTTTATGCTTGTTCTTTGTATTTGAATTTCTCAGCCAACACTTTGATTAAGCATAGAACATGGATAGTTCTTGAGTTTTAAAGATTAATGTCCTTACCTTTTCATATATATCCTCTTTCCTACAATCCACTAAATGCCAGTATTTCTTTTTAATTATCAACCGATTTTATTCTGCTTGTTTTGTATATGTTCTGCTGCCACAATTATTAATTTTAAAGTTTGAGTTGTTTCTATAAACCCAGGTATGGCATACATCATGTGACCCACCAGGCATGATGGGCAAAGTGAGACACGGATGAAGAATGACTGTGATAAGTCGCCAATTTTTAATCTTTCATATGACTTTCTTTTTTTTTCCAAAAATAATTCTATATTCATATTTATAAACCACCTCTTAGTTGAGAGAAAGTAATCACTGGCAGCAATTCATTGGCTGTCTTTTGCTATTTGATAATTTCTTAACAACCCTGTTCTTCCTTTTGATCTACCAATCAACATTTATTATTTTTACATTGCAGCTTAAATTTGAGCAGATAAAATTATTACTTAGTTTTTATTTTATTTAGTAAACTTTATTTTTTGTTGTTGTTATTTCTTATAGTTAGAAAATTAAACATATTTTCTGCTCAAAAACACAAAACCCATCATGTAATAAAATCAGGTTGAGCATTTGAAAGATTTGATCATGAAGACAAAATGTTTGATTTTTTTTTTTCTCTTTTCTACCAGTAAATCCATCAGTACATTGAAAAGAAAATTTGCTTATTGGAATATGATTGAATAATAAAGTTCCCTTAGATATTCTGTCATTAAATAAGACAGAAAAATCACATTTGATTCTCTCCCTCTTTATCTGCTTCCCACCTACTTAATGAATTTAAAATTCACATCTTTCTACTTTTGTTATCTACTGATTTACTTCACTAGATTATTCAATAAGATTATTATTTATTTAAAAAATCATAAAAAAAAAATAGTTTTTTTTTTTTTTTTTTTTTAATCTTTTCTCCTCTCCCTGAGTATTTACTGGTTTTATGGTGGACATTTGCTTATTTACCTCCTCCACCATCACTGACTTTTTAATTAAAACAAAGAGAAGCTGATTTTGTTGTAAATATTGATGACTATTTTGAATTTTAAATCTTCTAATAAATGTTGTATATAAGTCACTGTTCTGAATCTTCAGTAACACAATCTATTGTCCTGCATGCAAAGTGCAGAAGGCAAACTTTCTGAATTAAAAAAGAAAAAAAATAAAATAAATTGTTTGTGTTTGCTTTACTTTATCTCTGATAAATCTGGTGAAACATGTAGAGATATCAGTTAGCCCAGAAAAGAAGACATCTCCCCTGCCTTGTAGCCATATATGCAAACACAAAATCCCAAGTGGAATCCTTACAATGGCGAGTGTCAACCTGCATTTCCTGCCAACATGGTCTTGCTTGATAAACTAATGCAAGTGGAGTGGCGGTTGAGTGAAAGGCTCCTCTAATAAAAGAACTGATCTTGACTCACCAAGGAGCAATTATTATCTTACACAAAGATGGCTGAGACGCTTTTCATGAAAAGTTTTTTTTTAAGTTATCACTATTTCAGAAC